GCAGGAATGTAAACCAGGAACGTGACCTGTACAGTATATTAAATACTTATGCCAGTGCAAAAGAAGTCCTTACTTTCAAAGGATAATCAGGAGACCAGTTTCCAATGGTGCTTTCTCTAGGGTTTGGAATCTGCGGCCAAAAGTTCTTCTTGAGCCTGTAAGAAAGGAAACATCGAGGGTAACATGTCAGCTTTAAGAAACTCTGGCTGCAAAGCTAAAAAAATACCACTGTAACAATTAGTGTAAATGCATTCGTTAATAATGTATCAGAGCAAGAGGGCATGCTGTTTTTCACTGTCAACTATGGTTATCAGTTACAGCTGTGGACTGTCTTGCTGCTATGCTTAAAATAAACTATGACCCTGTCTGAGGGTGTGGGAGTGTTAACAGCTGCTGTGAATGACCACACTGGAAGAGAGCTGCTGGGGGATGAGATGCAGGTAATGGTACAAATGGCACTTTCCGACAGTTTCTCTTCAGAGACATTGAGTTTCAAATCCTCCTGACAGCAACATGTTTAGGTGTTTCAGTGTAACTTACGCATCTTTCTTGTAGGCACAGAGCACCATGGTCATAACAACAACAAACAGGAAGCCCAGGCTCACTCCCACCACAATGGCCTCGATTTCCCCTTTATCTGAAGGAAACAAGAGAGGATATTTGGAAAAGACAACATCTGAGTGAAAACATACTGTAAATTCAATCAGAGCTATTTATTTTTGCCAACCAGATCATGTCATAAGTACCAGGAAGCAGTATCAATACACCAGATGTTGAAGTACAAAATTGATATTTGGCTGTGGCTTTGTGTGTGTTTTATTATACCGTTTCATTATCTGTGTTTAAAAGGTAGAAAAATATGTTGGGACATTTTTAAAAACAACTAAATAAATGACGATGTAGGAAAAGGTTGCACTCACCATATTTCGGAGTGGTGAATGAGTGATTAAAGCCTTTCTTTGAACCTCCAATGGTTGAAGCCCTGATCCAAGTGTCATACTTTGTGCCACGTGACAATGACGTCAGAGTGTACGAGGTGGTGTTACCTGGCACTGTTACACCTGCAAATGAGCAAAACAACGATCAGGTAGGGTAGGACAGGCAAACTACTGACTTGTGCATATTCAGGATTCCACGTGGTAGATACATACTATGTACTTCAGTCCCGTTTGTATAAAATATGGTGTAGTTTGTGATAAAGCCTTGCCGACTGCGCTGGGGAATCTCCGTCCACACGAGCTCAGCTCTGTTACGTCCAAGTCTACCATTCAGTCTAACAGTAGGGCCTTCCAACGGAGCTGCCAACACAACAGCAACATCATGCAAATGAGAAACACAAATACAACTATACCCGTTCTTTAGAAAGTACGTACACATTGTTACCTACGCATGCGTGGATCGTCTAACACACGAATCATACTTTTGTTTGGGAAACAGGTTTGGAAACTCAGATGTCCGAGTTTTCCACGTGTCATTAAACGCACCGTGCATTCGTGGATCATGGACTTTTGAGAGTGTGGAAAAACACTCTCAAAAATCCGTGTGTGCGCGGAAGGTGATTCGTGTGTGTTAAGACGATCCACGCATGCGTAGGTAACAATGTGTTCGTACTTTCTAAAGAACTGCACACGAAAAATCGATTTTAAGCATTTGTAAAATGTGTTTTATGTGCAGTTGCACACACACAAATCGCTTGTTACAGACAAAACGTTAAACACGCATTTGTAACATTTTTGATAGTATTTTATCTCCATAGCTATTCAGATTGTAACATGAATTTTCTGTTCCACAATAAAATCTAATTAATTTCACAGAAAGATGAAAGAGCTGCTGACTATACTAAGAAATAATGTTCGTCTGAAAATAGTATTTTTACAATCCAATCTTGGCCTGCATTTAATAATTGCAACACATATAATACAGTGGTTTACTATTCCATGTACAATGAGTCACTAATAAGTATGTTACCTCCTTGCTCCAGGAAGGCTTCTACACTTGTAGGCTTCCCAATCCATCCAGAGTATATTGGATACACAGATATGTTGTAGCAAACAAACTTCTCAAGGTTGCCTGGATTTGACATCAAGAACAAGAGCTGAGTGAAATGTTAGATGACCGTAAAATCCTTACACTAAAGGGAAGTGATACTCCATGCAAATCTGGCTTCGGAGTATAACACAGCCCACAAGCTTGAAAGCTAAGTTTACAGAAGCACCCAGTCTGAATGAGTCACTAACATGAGGTACTGTCTGTGTTGTTTTACCTTACATTACCATAGTGAAAATGAATGCTGACTTGATAAATCACTGTAATGAATCACACAACATACAGTAGCAGGTTTCCCAGTCTGTTCATTGATTTTCATACTGTCCAAACCATTGACTTTGTTGAGCAATTGGAAAAATATATTTTAAAAACATCAAATATCTATTATTTGTGGTTCTGGAGCTAACACCTGTCTAGACACATGGTGGTCCTGCAAGCTGCAGTTAACCAAATTTCCACTAGGGTGCGCCACACAGTGAAACCATTCAGCGCCCAAATCATATTGGCCAGCTCGGCCACAGGGCTCAACAGGTTTATGTCCTCTCCTGATACACAGAACAAGTGGAAGTGGCTTCAACAATTATTGCAGTATAACGCCTATTATATCAGATATTAATGGTACGTAGTAGTCTGTATCACTGTGGTATCCTTCCTCTATAATAACACTTCATTCCCTTCTTTTTTTTTACTGTGTACATGACATGGAACACAGCAAACTGTTCGTCATGTTCTGTTGCATTTACAGCATGGGAAGCATGAGGACAGATACTGAGAATATTTTGGTGAATGTTTGGTATATCACAGGTACAGATGGATCACACTCAGTGAATATTTTAACAAGTTTCTATGAACATACAAATGATGGAAATCCACAACAACCTGTCCTTAGAATCTGCTGTCACTACGTACATCCAAGCTGAGCGCAGTGTGTTCTCCATGATACTACATGACTTTTTACAAGATTTTACACACCTACAGGGGGTGAATAGTTCATTCTCAGTATGACCAGATTTTGGGTGAATATTCCTATAATGGCATCCTGAATTCCTGTCAACTTCACTCAGATCATTTTGTTCAAAAAAAAAAAAAAAAAGCAAATACCTTTAATAGCAGTGCGTCTGGTGTTTCTGCTTTCCCTCTGCCAGTCCATCCGATCCTCAGTGACCCACTCCACCACATACTCCGACACACTATTACTATTACTGTTGGGGGGTTTCCACTCCAGCTTCAGCTGATCCCCATCAGACCACACTTTGAGCTTTTCAATAGGGGTGCAAGCTATAATACACACACACACAAACACTTAAAATCACATTACTGATGAAATGCGGCTGGTCATCACATTATTTTCTTTTTTTTCAACTTGCTCCAATCAACTGTGATTGGTTAAAACTTATAGGGATTTTAATGCAGCTTTGGAACACATAGGAAAAATTCTACAAACTTTATCATCAGCGGTTATATGTAAGGTGCATGTAACTTGTGATAAATAGTCCTCAATGTAAACACTGGTATGACATTAAAAAGACATTTAGACCTCTCTCGATACAGAACAGGCCAACTTCAAATTTACACTTGGCATGTTGAAACTGAGTCTAAACTCCTCACAACAACAACACAGTGTGCCCTGTTTACAGCTGGAACAACTGTGTTTCCTTGCTGGCATCAGTAATTACACTTTGAAGAAGCTGTATTACTGTTACAAACTAATTCCACAGATCCACATATTAGCACTTTGAAGCACATCATGCTGTATTACTGTACACGCGACGCAGCTGGGGGCACCTTGATGGTCTATACCAACCACAAACATGCAACATCCTCTGTTCACATCCAGCAGGGAACATTTGTTGCATGTCATTTACCAGTTCTCCCTCTCATCCTATTTCATGTCATCACTTTTCTGTCCACTGGATAATTTTTAGGCATAAAGTCCTTTAAAAAAATCCTTAAAAAGATAAGATGGACAAATGAAGCGCATGGTGGGTGTGCGCATGATATTAACAGAAACAACATTCAAGAAAAACGTCTTATTTACTTAAAACTGAAGCATTAAAGTAAAACAGTATACACATATTGAAATCACTTTTGCCGAATGATTCCACTAAAGTTTGCTCAGCGTGTTTGTGTGCTGTTAGCTTAGCTGGTTTAGTGCTGTCGTAGACAGCAGACTCCTGAAGATGGACTGTGTACATCTCAACAACTAACATGCTTCTCTTCCACTGATGAATCCATAGAAAAACACTTACCAACAGAAGCATTAAATATATGTCAGTGGTGTATAGTGTTGCAGCTCATACTCCTGACTGCTGTGCCAGTTTACACCAAAAATGAGTTCAGATTATATGTTGCAGGTGTGCCTTGTGAGTCACCATGGATACATACCGCATGCTTTGTCAGGGATGAACAACGATGCCTCCACAGACGTCCCCACAGAATTGCTGGCGGTGAGGTACACTTTAACAGAGTCCTTGTCAGCCAGGTGAATCTCTTTAAGGGGAGTGATCTTCCTCTGTTCAGAGCTGCTGTCTGCCTCTGACCTGTTGACTAGAATTCTCTCCCATACCCAGCTTCCATTCTTGACTTTATTCTCTTGAATCTTTATGTTGAAGTTTATTATCCTGCCATTGGCAAACTCAGGATCCTGGCGAGGCAAAGTCACACACAGTTGTTTGTTTCCTCTCAGCATCAGATCAGGACATATGACCAAGTGTTGTACAGGAAAACAAATTACTGCACTGTAGAAGTGTTTCTTAAAAAAATCAAACACCATTATCTCAAAGAAACCTTTTACTATAGGTAAATGTATACATTATGTTAGTATCCATGTTATGCTGATGTGCATTGGGTATCTAACCATTTTAATGACAAAAATTACTGTCAATGTCCTATTGCCCTAAATCCACATGACACTGCTCATCCCTTTGCTCCACAAAACTCCACTGCCCTCCAAATTAAAAACTAATAAAATCATAATTATGCAACTGCTGTTTTGATCTCTGACAATTATTGTATGTTGAGATGAAGTTATGCTCAGGCAACAGTTTCTGTGATTGCACTGCTCTGTTAGTTTGTCACACTAAAACAAACTACTCACTGTCATATTGAAATGGCATGATTTCTGATAAGGTCTGATTTGTTTAGATACACAGGATTGTTATTTTTTGACCAACACCCATTTCAGTAGGGTTGGCGGGTCTACTATGAAAATATCTGACATGACTTTTTGAGGCCAAACTTAAAAACGGGGCATTTTAAGAACATGTTAAAAGTTCTGCACTTCCAAAACTGTGTTGTGAAAATGGTGGCAAATTAGACAGAGACCGTTTTCTGTGTTAAAGTGACTATTATTTGGGAATTTACCTTACAAATCAACTGCACTCGTCGATCGCTGCTGTTGTCACCCTCAGTAATGATTTTCCATAAGTCCGGTTTACCTTCTGGTCCTAGGGCAAAGAAAAGGAAACCAAATATTTTTGTTTACCAAAAGAACAAAAAGGAATGGCATCTTCCAAATCAACAGTTCAACATTAAAGTAGACAGAGTGAGCAGATTCGCAGATTCAATAAGTGGTTTCTTTTCATCATTGTAAATTTCTATTTTTAACACATCATTTTTCATTCATTAACACTGACAAGCATCGCATTTTGGCATGGGTGGCCGACACCCCCTTGGCTCCACCCATGTCAACCTGCAGATAGTGTGGAAGCCATATGTGGTGCTTTGTTTAAATAGGAAAAATGACGCGCTTTCATTAGATGCTGCCGGCTTAATTTAATGTAGGTGCTTTCATTACTGAGTGCAAGAAAGGCCCAAGGGACTTATGACTCGTACTGTGTCCATCACTGCCAACAGATTAATAAGGAACACATTAATCTAGAATCCTTCAATTGCTTTTGCACACCATACTGTATTTCGTGGTCAGATATTCATTGAAACTAGTCTGGATGGACAGCCATAATACTCACGGTCCTCTGGTGTTCTCTTTGTAGCGTTGGCACTCCAGTCGCTCCAGTAACCATGGCCCTCTTTGTCATATTTGCAGCGGACCTGAATGACATAAACTGTGTCTGGTTGAAGTTCCTGGAGTCTGAAAGACTCTATGCCCTTACCAGTGACCCCAAGAGGTACCTAAAAGTCATTAAACACATTTTTATCATTAATAATAAAAGACAGATAGTAGACTTCTTAGTTGATTAGATATCAACTGACTAATTACAATTAGTAGAAGGAGAAACAAATATACTTACATAAGTCCAATTATGTGATCCACTTGAGCAGAACCTGATTTGATATAATAATCTCACATAAACCTCTGCAATAGGATGAGTCCAGTTTATCAGAAGGCATGTGGGAAAAGCCTTCTCTGAAATGACATTGATGCCTGATGGAGGGTTTGTTTTCACTGCAACAAAAGGCACATCAAACAACATGTGAGATGCTGATCACCAATCATTATTTGTGACAGATTTTAATATGGAGATGAATGTTTAAGGCTAGATTTTATCAGAAAGCAAACATACAGATGGCAGTGATGTGAAAACCTTGCTCACACATTAATGCAGCATTTAACTTACCAAAATAGTTGGCATTTTCTTTCAGATGCTCAGACTCTACTGCTCCCAGTTTGTTGTGTGCCTCCACCCAGATCTCCATTGACACATGATTGGGAAAAACAGTCATACGCAACTCAGCATGGTTTTCACGAGTTGACACATTATAGTGCGCATCGGTCCTGACAAAAGATTTTAATACCATTTAGAGGAACACTCAGCAGTGAGGCATAAACAACAATACATACACTTGGAATTCTTCCAGTTTAAATGATTTTATATTCACTTTTCATGATACTCAGTTTTATTTTCATGTATTCTAATATTTCATTTCATAGAGTGTCGTAGTAGTGAGTCCTAAAACCCAGAACTGAGTTAGCATTTTTGCATTTCTGGTGCCCTCACCTTGGAAGTTGAACGGTACAAGCCTGTTGTAAATCTAACACCCAACATCACATGTGGCTGAGCCAGTCATATACATGATTACATTTACACCTGCACTGCAATGTGTTTTTCCTGATCCACATAAGATATCCAGACATAGATCACAAGTTGATAGCAGGCAGAGACACTTCTACTTCTATCTCTGACAAGCATATAGTGTGTATACTTTGAATCCACTGTAGAAATGTTATGGGAATGTTATAGTCAGACTGGTCGTGTTATATAAACAGAACAAGTGGTACTGCAGGGTTGTACTCACGAGACAACTCTCAGTGTGTATGTTGTTGGGACATGTAAGGTTTGACGTCCGACTGATTCCCACTCACAGCTGATGACTCTGGAGATCTCTTTCCCCTCCTGAACTGCTATACAGGACAGATTCTCAGGCTTCTCTGGACGATCTGACATTGGGACAAACAACATGCACACAGACACACATCTTTTTAACTTTTTTGTTTTTTTTAAGAAATGTATGTTGTTAATTATTTTAAACAAAACTTTAAAATCTTTAAAAAAAGGAAACAATGACTTACAGCCTGTTTCTAGGAGAATCCCATGAATAAATTTGCCTCTGTTCAGGTCAACATCTGGTATTTGTTTCTTGCAGACGCAAAATAACCATCCAGAAATTTTATCGGTGACAAGGAGAGTGACATTAAGAGCTGAACTGTTGAGCTTGGTGTACTGTTCTTTGGGTACAGTAGTCTCTGATATATTCCAGTAGAGGTCATCTGCAGTAATTTTATCTGTGTTGAGAATCAGGCATGTAGCCGTAAAGTTAGTCCCAATCTCAAGTACTGGGGACTGTGGGGCTATCACCAAATGGCTGTCACTTCCTGAAGAACAACAAAACAAGAAAAAAATGTTCAGAATCAGACTCGACTAAAAAAAGTAGTGCACTTGCATCAGCAACAATATATATAAACATATAGACTGCTGAGCCAGCAAATAACTCAAACTTCCTCCCACAGCCTACCCAAAAGGAACATTTGCTGCTAATTTTAAAGGGAAGTGACTGTAATACACAGTTTGGTCCAACTTTTAGATCATTATGGTAACACAGAGAACAAGTTGTTACTCAGGAGAGTTGTATGGCATCCCAACTTCTACAGACAGAGGCCACCTAGTGGCACGACCCGGCACTGGAACAAAACTGCAGTATATTTTCTAACTGTTACTGAGCGGTTAGGGCTCAGTTTAAGGTATAAGGGTAAATCCATCTTGATGGGGAAACTGACTTCAACACAACAATGGCAGAGCAGGAAGACTTGGAAGTTTTCACGCATTATTTCAAGGTGGTTAGCCTTAGTGCTAACCTTTAAATGATAACATTGGTGATTGTCATGAAGATGAAGTCGGCTTCCAACTTGCAAAGTATGAAAATTATGTAATTCACTGAATCACTGAAATTATTAAAGTAAGAAAGAAACTGAGTATGAAAACTGATGTGTGTTTTGCAATTGGTCAGACTTACTGGCATCCATAATTCAATATTTTATTATATAGAATACAAATACAGAATTATAGTCACTTGTAGAATTTTTGGCCACCTAGAGTCTTGACATTTGAAATACAATTTCAATTCAAGGCTATGATTCAAAAAATAGAAGTTAGTTGTAAATATGTGCTGGACATAAATGAAACCTTTATTATCAGCTAATAATTAATATTTATGTTTAAGCAATCCATACACTTGATTTTATTGTTGATGATGGAGTCAAACTGGAACTGAAAATTCAGGATTCCTGGGCTGATCTCATGTGAATATAATAATGTTATTATGTTCACATGAGATCAGCTGAGGAATTAAACAGTATGCAGTTTATGTTACTACAATTTAGTATCTTTACCTTTCTATTAACCTGTGTAGCATGAAATTCCTCTATGCTTTATAGTCTTTTTAGTGTGCCACCCCAAGATTTTCATTGGCCCCTTCTGGTCCACCAGTAAATATTTTCTGCTCTAACCAGGTCTACATCCAAAACCACTATATTTAGACTGGTCCAAGCTGGACAAGAGTTTCATGAACAGTATGAAGACTCCTTCAAACATGGTTTCAGATTTGTGAAATATGCAGTGGTGTATTTTTCTTACAGTTTCTGGAATACTACCCAATACTAAAACAAAAATAAGTGCTGCTTAGCACCATGTGATGTTATTGGAATTGCTGGAGAATGTTGGGAAAATAGGAAGCTTATTTACACAAATGCACCCCAAGACAGCCATGCTGACTCATCATAACAGGTGCAACAAATATTATTAATGTGTCTCAAGTCACCATGATAGTGAACCAGAAAGTACAGGACCAGGGCCCTTGAACTGGGGTGTCTAAATGACATGTAGACATTGTGGGGGCAAATGATGTTCAGTGGGTAGAGCGGTCGTCTCCCAACCAGAGGGTTGGAGGGTCGAATCACGGTGCGTGCAGTCTACATGTTGAAGTGTCCCTGGGCAAGACACTGAACCCCCAAGTTGCCCTCCATGGTTAGAGCCATCAGTGTAATGGCAGATGGCTGCCTCGGTTCTGTACCGGAAACAAATTCCTTGCGTGTAACATACTTGGCCAAATAAAGGTTATTACTATTATTATCGCTGTTACTTAGCTACCCTACCCCTGGGCATTTCCGGCTATCATATGTCAGAATACTCTCAAAGGACCTCTAGGACGTGCATGGAGCTGGACGAAGGCAACTGTAGAAGTTGGTCAGCTGCTTTTTAGCTAGTCTAGCCCAACCAGTTGTGTGTTACGATGCGTTAACCTTGGCCTAACCAGTTACCCCCTGACTACCCCCGAGCTGCACCTCATAGCGGTCCTACGAGGGTCGAGAGGGCACAAAATGTAAAATGGTACTGACCAGCAATAGCAGGCAGAGTGGAGACAAGGCAAGCTAACACCAGGAACCTCGCAGGCACCATGATGATGACTAGCTAAGGAGGAAAAACATAATGTCAGACAGGATACGGTAATATAAGTGTCAGTTCTGTCTACTACATTAGCTACATCCTTACAAACTTTACAGCTAACGCTAGTCTTAGTAACTTGTCATGGCGCATCATCGAGGTTAATAACATAGTAATATGGCTTCAGGACAGATCAGAATTCGGTACGATATTAGTAAACGGTAGCTAAGTTCTAGAAAAACAAAGAGGAAAAGTTCATGGTAGCCTTTGGTTAAGAATGTGCACAGTAGTCACTGATGCGAATTAAAAATTCAGTGTTGAGAGCTCACATTGCCACCCCTGCCTGCGCCATATTGTTTCCATAGTCAAAAGCATGAAGTTAAGTACTTACCTAATTGGTATTATGGTCTCAGTATAATCTTCTCTAGATCAACAACATCGTTCTTTGTGCCTAAACCTAGAAATCGTAAAAACGAGTTTAATAAAAAATGTAGTTATCACTGGTGCCTCGGTCCAATGATTCTGGTATAGGACCACCCACTTCCCGTCATTGTGAAACTTGTTTCGCAACACTTCGCGAACGCTGCGCCATTCTTTGTCGATCTCACACCACATGGATAGAGCGACGTCCTACCTGATGAACTTGGGCCCTGCCGACGATATATTAGGAATCAGCTTAAATGCGGGGGGGGTGAAGACTTACTGCTTGGTGATTGGTCAAAGAAACTGTTTGTCAAACAGGTTTGACGAATCGGAGGTTTCTGATTTGACTCTCTCGGCAGTGTGCGTCTTTCACTGTTTTCCTGTATGTCTCCACCCATGTACGAGATCTTAAAAGTCTGTGAACTCTTGGCACTGACTTTCCAAAACAAGGCAATACGTGGCCGGTGTCATGCATGCCTGTTGCAGGAATTTATATAGTTTGTTTGTCACGGTTGTTTTTATTTTTGTCTGTATTTGATTGTTTTGGATTCTTCATTGATTTAATCTATTTTTATTTTTGCTTGTGTTTTTTGTAAGATGAGCCCATTGGGTTTTTAAATCACACCAATAATTATTATAATAATTGATTAATATTACAATAATCACACCACCACAATATTTGTTATTTATTATGCTATACGTACGACCAAAAAAAATTTTTGTATTTCTATAAGTGGGGTCAAATTATGGAATAATTTAAGTGTGGACATAAAAAACAGTACTAGAATTGAGGAGTTTAAATATAAATATAAATGTATGTGTCATTCAAGATACATGCAAGAATAAGAGATTTAATCAAGAATGCATGAAGGAAACACTCTGTTTTAAATTTTCTGTGTATTACTTGTCTGGTGAAGAAGAGAATTACCTATGTAGAGATACTGCTTGCAGCCAATGATGCATGAAATTTTTTGTATAAGATGATGTTATGGGGTAGGACTGGATAAGTCTGACTTCTTCCTACTCCATTCAAACATGTACTAGGTATAAGCAAACTGATTCTGGATTAGCATTGGTTGGATTTGTGTAATTATGTGTGTGTTGATGTCATTTGTTCTGCATGTTTGAAAGAATAAATCAAATCAATAGAATGAGAAGAAAAAGTAAGCAAACCATTTGGAATTACTTGATTCTGTGCATGATTTGGTCATAAAATGGGACCCAATTGTCATCTAAATCACAAGTATAGACAAACACAGTCTGCTTAAGCTAATACCAGACAATCAATCATAATTTTTCATGCTTTTACTGAACACACCTATTAAACAATCGAAGTTCTGGTGAATTTAATAACTGGTCAAAGCTCCTTTGGCAGCATTGTCCTCAAACAAGTGCTTCCTGCAGCTGTGGATCAGACCCGCTCAGGAGGAATTTCGGACCATTCTTCCTCACTGCATCAGCTCAGACGTATTTCTAGGATTTTTGGTGCGAACTGCTCTCTGAGCTCATTCCACAGCAGCTCTGTTGGGTTAAGGTCTGGGCCCTGACTGGGCCACTCCAAATGGTGGATGTTCTTGTTTAAAAACCACTCTGTATATTTACTTCAGTGTTTACAGATAATGTCCTGCTGCATCCCCCAGCTCCTACTAAGCTCCAGCTGGTAGACAGTCACCCTGACATTATCCTGTAGGATTCCTTGATAAATGGTAAATGGCCTGCACTTATATAGCACTTTTCTGTCTTACTGGACAAAGCACTTTATAATTTATGCCTCTCATTCACTCATTCACACACTGATGGCAGCAGAACTGGTGTTGGTCTGGCCACCAGGAGCAACCTGGGGTTCAATGTCTTGCCCAAGGACACTTTGACATGTGGACTAATTACCAAACAGGTGATTAGTGGCTGACCTGCACTACCTCCACAGCCACCCCAGACAATGGAAGTCCCCTATGCATCATACAATACTCCCCTTTAGAAAAGGAATACTATATAAAAAATGCTGTCCATCAACAATGGCCTAATGGTCCTAATATTGAACCTGTTTTTAAAAATCCTCCATGCACTGTTTTGTGCTTCAAATGTTTGTAGTGAGAGCTGGCCATCCAACAGAAAGACCCAATGACTTTTTATCAGCCATTCCAGATAACAAGTACAGGTGTGCACAGTGCACACAATGCAGTTTTACCTAGTGCACAGTGCACACAATGCAGTTTTACTTATACTGTAAATGATAGCTACTTTTACCCATTTACATTCTAGTAAAAAAAAAATTAAAAATTAACATCAAAACTATCATCACTTATTGTGAGGATTTCAGTTATAGAGGACCAAGATACAAACAGGAAACAAGTGACAATGCTGAGGAGCACCGAGCTTTAATGATAATACTGACATGCAGGAAAACAGGATACATCGGAGTAAAGCAAAGTGTGGCCTTAGGAACATTAATGTCAGACACAAGTCGCTAACAACATGGACTAGAACCAATGCACAGAAACATTGAAGGAAAACTGGCAGGCCCAGAAATGAACAGTCATACTTTAATCCATGTCAAAGTGGAGAAAAAATTCTAATCATGAATCAATAATTTGCACAACCACATTCAGACAGAAATTACTACTGTGACCTATTATTTGTCTTTCAATTAAATGTTAACTGTACTATATAAACCTCTGACAGAGTTGCAAAAAAAGAACACATTGTATGTATGTTGCACTGTAAAAAGGCACATCATCAAAAACATCTTGAAATAATGATGCTTATTGTTTCAGGAATGCACTTTTTTGTTAAGGTATATAAAGCCGTTATTCAAATGTCAGTATTACAGCTCCCAGCATTTTATTTAGTTCATTTTTTAACATGGAAAACAGGTCCTTCTCTTTCAGTTCTACTTTCTTCTATTGGTAGTTGAATGCTGTTAATAATCCTTTAACATCAAAAATACTGAGGTCTTACTTTTTTTAATCTAAAACATAAAGGGATAACTGTGTCATAAGGATTCGTTAACATGATTGTAAATCAGTAAAACTTGAACATAGGTTAATGATGTTGTTTTTCATAGGGGACAGACTTTAAAGTGTGTTGATCAACCAGGAGAAAAGACATTGTGTGAAGGAGAAAGGTTTCTTGTGTGCAGAAGTAACTATCTCGTATGAGTGTCAGGTTCTTATCATTATTCTTTAAGGTGAGTCATGTGAGTAGGCACATACATACATCTAATGAGAAAAGCTTATCATGTTTGGTCAAACAAGACAAACTTTTTCAGCAGAAACAGTCGCTCCTGAGATAGCTGTGCTCAGGACCTTCTAGCATACACAAGACAGTTGCATGTGCGTGCAAGGAACAGTGTATGTAGCTGTTCCAAGAGCACACAAAATAGTTTTCAGCTTGCAATAACCACAAGCTTGCTGATGTCGCTTTGAGGCCTCCTTAGATTAATATATGAACCAATCCTCATACAACTTTTTTTAACTGCTGATGTTACATTAAGCTTACATTTGTAAGGGGTATGCTGGGAACACTGGGTGGGAGATTAAACATTTTTTGTGTGTGTTGCTCTATCCTTCAGGCTATCTATCACCCAGCTCTGTAGAGGTCTCTATAGATTGTTGAGCTCCAAAAGAGTTTGGTCCAACACCTGGTGCATGTCCAGGTTCTCTTCTTTGGCTTGGGCCAGTTTCTCTGCAGAAGGAAATAAAATAGGTGAGCTGCGAAATACATTTCCTGTCTGGATTGAAAATGCATAAAATCCAGAGGCTCTCTTATTCTTTAAGCACAGTTGTTGTAGTTTTATCATAAAAGGGTTTGCTGAAAAGGCAGATGTGAACCTCAGAACAATGAAACGTTGCAGAGGAACATCGCAAACCTGATTTATACTACTCTTCAGTAACTTAAGTAATTTTACAAAGCTCTAATTGCCCAGAGAATTTCTATTAAGTTTAATTAGTCCCCATCACATACCTCAGTTCGTTCCTTTCTTTTGTTTTGTGCGAAATACATGGATTGCTATGTGCGCACTGCAGTGCTCCAGCTACAACGTGCATGAAGTGCATATGTGCGTACTGTGGTGTACAAACCCTAACCACTGCTGCTTTGACATTCTGGATTAGAATACCAAATCATATCTTTTCCCACTGTTATTAATCTAAATGAATCCACTTCCAAATATAGCAGCTTGTTAAAACTTGACTGTGTGATTTTAGCGGGGTACAGCAGATCAATACTGGGGTATGTGCCCCAGTAAAAAGGGTCTAACGACACCTATGGATAGACCAGAGTCAGTGGTGGTGTTTGATTATGAAATATTAAAAATACAGGTGGCAATGTGTTGTACTGTGTCTGACATGAAATCGGGCACTAAAAACATTTAAAGCGCAGCAGTCCATGGCTAGCATGTGACATCATGGAGTTGTTTTAGGAATAGTAAAGCCTACAGCAGGTGATGTTCCACTGTCAGGACCAGCAGAGGATGATCCTGGACAGAACCCTGCATAAAGATCTGGACCCAGCTGTCTGAGTGAGAGAATCTTCCCAACAACTAGTGTAATGCAGACGTAGCTGTGCTGACATGCTGAAAATAAAATCATAAAATCTGCAAAACGTCTCAACTGGCAGCCATGATGAACAGTAAATTCATGTTGTAGCAAATTTGTTTTAGCTACTGTACATATTGTATTTAGTTCATTATAGTGTCATATGCAAACATATGACCCATCCCACAAGACCGCAACATGCATCTTCCTATAATTCATATATAAACAAAAGAGCAACAAATGCTACAGCATTGTAAGTGCATCCATATTTTCTAAATCAATATCTGTTTTTATCCTACTAAAGTAACTGTGTGGTTCCCCATAATACGGACAACAGAAATAAAATAAAACTTATCTTCTGTATCATTTAGGCAACGCATTGAACAAGTTCACTTTTCTTCTTCCAGACTCACAAAGTGTCCGGTTTCAGCAGTAAGTGGTAAAATACACATAAAGATCTTTGTTTTTAGATCAGTTCTATATAACAAAAGTTTTGATTTAGTCCATGTCTCATCAGCCTACTGCTCCTTTCTCTGAACAAACAGATGTTGAGGTAAAACCCCTAATAAACTGGAGCTGGAGAACGCTGTGCACAGTGGTCCTTGACTAAGAGTCACTTATTTGTTTATACCACATCAAGTAGCCAAGTCCAGAACAGAGTGATATCATCCCAAAACTGTGGAGAACATTAGGGCAAATGTACCGTTGTGCACTGATTCACACAGAGAGACAGGCCCTGAGCCCCAGCAGTATGACTGAGCACAGGACAACACAAGCTCGACAAAGCTTTGAGCTGAAAGTTATTTGAAAGCACAACACCTTCGGGTTTTTCATTTTACCAGTGATTCCTCCCAAATCTCTGCCTACTCATGCAGCAAGAACCTTAACGCCCTTTTATGTGTTATCAACCATTCAAGTGTTTATACAGCAGTTATAGATGCTTCAAACAAGGGGTTCAATATACTGCAAATACTTCAAGCTTTCTTATTTGTGTTTACAATGACAATAGTGTACAACAAAGCAGTTACTTATACATATACAGTGTACTTTTCATACACTGCTTATGTTCACTACAGTAAAGGAAGTAAACAGAATAGAAAGCAGGCAAGACTGGAAGAAGACAAAGAAGTCAACAGAGATTTAATCAATTTATTACAGAGGGGAGAGGGAAACAGGTTTACATGAATATTTCAGTAAAGAGAGGATTCGAAGTCAGTGAACCGGCAGACACAGCAGTGACTGGGTGAGCAGTACTTTAGCTTCTGTAAAAAGAGTACTGCTGTGCAACACAAATGTAGCTTACTGAGGGGTGAATCTTCCAGCCCAGAACACCATTGTGGAATGAAACAAAACAACAGCAAGCAGGCGGAGAAGAGTTCAGACAGGAAGGACGAGCAGAGAGGAAGTCATAAGAACGTCTACAGTGTAGTCATGTCGTTGAGGGCCAGGTCCAGCTCCTCACTGAGAGCTTTGCCCTTCAGCTTCTGAGCATACACTTCATCTGGAGGAGGACACACAGCCACACAGTCAAGGAACCGAGCAGACAGGCAGACACACAGAGTGGAAACAGTAAAGTACAATGAAAAGGAAAGTAAAAGTGAGTCAACTGGTAAGAGTCAAACTGAAAGAGCACAATTGACTGGTGTTAATGTTAACACATCATCTGGTTACTGTAGCTCACCGAGCACAAGTGACACATTTCACCTCGAAGGTCATTCAGCCAAACAATGTACTGTAATCACTGTTGTCTCTAGACTGGGCTCCAATACACATCAAACAATGTTATCAATGAAAACTCCACTGAACACCTCTATACACGACACATGCCAGAGACAAGAGGATCAGCAGTAGGTCACACTTCTGTAACAAAGATGGAGCAGGCTTTTTGATGGTTTAACTGGAAATGAATTCATTAAAGTCAGGTAACCAGCACACTGGACCTTTACACTTCCTGCGAGCAGCTTAGGGCTCACCACTAACAAGATAAAACTCTTATCTGGTAATGTTTGCTACCACTAGTTACCAGTAGTGATAAAATTACTTAGCTTCTATGCTTAGGTAACTGTAGCTATAATAAAACTCTTATCTGGTAATGTTTGCTACTACTAGTTACCAGTGGTGATAAGATTACTTAGCTTCTATGCTTAGGTAACAGTCTACTAAAAACATACTACTCCACTGCTGTATTTACAATTTTACTCCAGTAAAAGTATGAAGGTATTAGCAGCATAATGAACTTAAAGCACCAAAGCTTCTCATCATGCCGAGAGAAAGGCACTGTAATCCCCATTTGAAAACAGTACCGTGTCACCACCTTTTCTATGATGGTCAGATTTTCACCCCACCTTCAAATGTGGCTGTTCAGATCAGGTGTAAACGCTCTCGATTTCTGATGTGATCGAACAGCAGGTCATACAAACTACAGCCCAGCCCTTAGTTTTTACAGATCCTCCCTTAACTGCGCTCATCAAGGCCACAACACTGCATATGTGAAAACCACAGGAAAAACGTTGAGCCTCAGTAGCAGCATATTAAAGTGGTGACAGCTATATATTTATACAGTACAAGTCAGTCCCCAGGTTGCATATCCAGGTTAATAAAACAAGCCCAATGACAGGTAATTAACTGACTTAAAGGTTATTTGGTCATTCCAGCTGTCCAGCCATGTCATCAGTTCAGTTCCAACAGTAAAACTGGGATTAATGAAGCCCTTTGTTAGTTTAGCATTACTCAATGCAGAGAGGAGCAGAGATGACAGGTGAGAGCTGATTACCTTCCAAATCATCAATGGTCTTCTCTAGCTTGGCCACAGACCTCTCAGCAAACTCTACACGGGTCTCAGCCTGGAACACAAACCACAACACGACATGTGTCAATCTGACACACCGTCTCTGTAAACGTCAGCAGCCGTAACAGAAATGTGAGTGTAAAATGTTGGGGGGAAAAAAATCTCACCTCTTTCAGTTTATCAGTAAGAACTTTGATTTCTTCTTCATATTTGTCCTCTTTTAGCGAGTACTGAAATCCAAGCATAAAAGGCATTAACAAAGCACAAATAAAATACATTTACAACTCACACAAACACTTCTTTGAGTTAATGATTTGAGAGATTATTTGAATAGTGTATAAAGGAAAGGAACTAAGACAATGATGTACAGTTGGTTGTAAACCAAAGTTTACAACGGCTGAAACGATGGCTGTGGCAATTAAACCTTGTCATTATGCCGCCATGTTAATCAAAGCTTGTACCCCTCATGTAAGTTCTTTATAGCACGTTCGACTCACAGAGCATCATTTTCCTTTGGATGTTGTTTAACAAAACTTACTGTGGTTGTCAAGGTATGTACACCGTGAGGATAAAATGACTCGGCTTTATGATTAAAGAGCTGTTTAACCAGCTCCATTTTCAATTGTGTCTTTATCCTAAAGCAGACAGTAGCTGGAAATTACATTTTGGGGCTACTTGTGACTAAACGATTAACACAGTGTGAGGTCATTTAAAGCAACTTCCTGTCTTGTCAAATCTCAAAGATGAAACTCATTTGCAGCGTTTCAAGTCTCTGTAGTAGGTTAATGAAAATTGTTTGTTGTTGAATAGACTGAATGGGTTTCTATGACGTGTTGAATTTCTTTAGTGAATTTTGTTTTGTAAAACACTTTTTATACATCGGTATGGACACCATATATACAGCCTGACTGGACAGTCCTGAGGCTGAAATGTCCCTCACTTCCTACTGTACCTTCTCAGACTGGGCTTCCAGTGACTTCAAGTTGTTGGCGACATTTTTCAACTCTTCCTCAAGGTCACCTGATTTACTGAGCAGTGTAAGAAAGCGGAAAAGCAAGAGAAGAGAAAAGCAGTAATTTGAAAGGCAGGACAGCAGAAGGGATCAAACCCTGACACTATCTGAAAGACCACTCCAGCATTTTCATTCATTTTTGTCTGTCTTACTCTAAGAGAGAAGATGAATATCATTTGCATCTGACTTTGAGTAAGACATTGACCAAGGATTTTAGCAAAATGCCAGGGTGTTTTAAAATAAAAGTGAAACTCACCTTGATGTATGAGAGATTACAGGCAAAGTTAAGGAAGAGCTAAATCACAAACTAAAGTATAAATCTGTTGTTGTTCCATATTTTTCTTATTTTCACCAAATCCCATGTACAGAACAAGATCAACAATGTATTAGTTCATCTCTGAACACTGTCTAACTTCTCTACTCTGTGGCTTTTAGCGCCCCAAGCCAAATAGCTCATAATGAAAACAGAAAACTTTCAAAACCGTAGAAATAGTTTCACTGGTCGCGGTAGCTTTTAACTAGCATTACTCGAATGAAACAGCACATCCGTTAGGGACTGTTTTCAGCAGCACATGAATCTACATACAGCGGTGTGGCTCACTAGTGGGGTTTCAGTAGCGCTTTGTAATCTACAGCAACACATTTCAAATCCACTTCCATCTGACAGTACTGACAACTACACCGTGAGATCTGACAAAACTGTATCTCCAGTCTCCAGATGCCTGTTTTTAATTCACTACAGTAGATTTAAAATCAATGTTTAATACTCCATTTGTTACTGACTTTGTTTTAACACATATATAGAATGTTTGTAATTAAAGACAGAGGAGGAGGGAACAAGACAGTCTTGATTTTTAAAACCCTTTGTTGTCTCCTGCACTCATACCTTTTCATTTTGATCTCCTTAATAAAGAATCACACTTCGAGGCAGCTTTGCAAACAGTACTCTGGGCTGAAAAATTGCAATTTTCAGGAACTGTTGGGTAAAAACATTTAATCTACACTGTGATGTAGAGTTATATTCTCCTAAAAAGAATCTTTCTGAACATGTAACTGCAACATCCTCAGCTTGATTCTGAGTGGGGATCTCTGTTGCATCTTGCATCACCCTCTCTCATACATTAAGATCATACTTATGAGAAAGGTGTTTTAGTAAAGACAAAGATATCTACATATGAACCAAAGTGATCTTAAGAAGGGATAGTACATTAACGCAAAACATCATAACCTATTTCAATGTAACCATCAGCATCATCTATCAATATAAATGAATGAACAAAATTACACTTTTCTTGTGTTTGCTTTTTAATTTTAATGTCTGTTCCCTCTTCTTCTGAAAACCAATTAATGATTTCATTGCTGGTCTTGGTCTTTTCATGGAACCTGTTGACAATAAAAATCAACATTTACTGTTTTAAGTACAGCTTGTAGAACATGCTTGAAGTCAGTGCAAGTGCATGTTAGATAGAACAGAACAGAGAGGGGTTGAGAGGCTGCATGTCAGAGGAGCATAAGGCAGCAGGTCACAATTAGACCTTTGGTGGAGTTTGTACAGTCAGTACCTCTTCCTCTCCGCACATCATGGACTTCAAATTCTGGTCCATTAGTCTGAGCTCCTCCTCCAGCTCCCTCACTCGCCTGCAGGGGTTAGTCCATGAGGCCGGGAGTGAAGGGGGACAGTGGGCAGGGTAGCCATAAAACAATACAAGTCCCACACAGGCGAGGGTGGTGTATTCAGGCATGCATTACATAAAAACACACAGGAGAGAACACAAAACACACATCTAGGTCTCTATGTGATTAGTCCATGTGATTCACACATACTACGTGACCTAAGAGAATACATGAATAATCAATTAGTTAATCAACAGAAAACAAACCTGAATACATATATCTGTCTCAGATGTAAGGATCTCTTTGTTTTCTCTATTTTACAAAATTGTGAACTGAACACCTTTGGGCTTTGGACTGTTTGTTGAATAAACACTTTATAGCCAAACAGATTAATCAATTTACCAAAAAAAGAAACAGTAAAATAATCAACAATGATCATTAATTGGAGTTTTTAAAAGATTCCTTGTGACTTAACCTATGCAACATTTTAAGTTTGCACTGCTATCAATACACTGTAAACAGCAGATTTATTATATTATTTAAAAAAATAAGAAATTCACTAATAACAAGTGAATGTGTAAGATCACATTCTCATAGTAGTGATCACATGACCTCTACTATGACAACATGAATAATGTACAGTGGTTCTTTCGCTGGTGTGAGTTTTCATGGTGCAGGTTTTGACTTACGCCTCGGCCACCTCAGCACGCTCCTCTGAGCGCTCCAGTTCACCCTCCAGGATCACCAGTTTACGTGCAACCTGCAGACATTCAATGTACACCAATCTGACTCCATCAAACTGACATTTTAGCATTTATCCTCACTGATACTATTACTGTGTTGCCATTCTCTGCTAGATATTTGACTAATGAATTGTGTATAGTATGTGTTGTATTCAAAAATGGGACGAAGTTATTATTTTGCAAGTCCCAAGTTTCCCAAGTTTTTAAACAGAGTAACAACTGGTGTAGTAAAATTACAGAAATAATCAGTGCTTTTAAGATTAGTTTTTACTACTTACATACATTTTTTAACATTTACTGTGTGATCATAGATGAATGTTTTGCAGGTCTGGTTTTCGTCAGTCTGAAACTTTACATGTGATAATCTGGCATATTGTTGCCTGTCTGCTGGTCTGCAATTACCTTCTTTATATCTCAGATTTTTAATTAAAATCACTTTTCCAGTGGGAACAAACTATATAATCAAAATCAGTTTATAATAAGGGTGTGGCATTGTGATGTAGAACTGGAAGTCAAATCATGAAAAAGCTGTGATTCCCCCACCTCTTCATATTTGCGGTCGGCCTCCTCAGCGATGTGTTTTGCCTCTTTCAGCTGCATCTCCTGGATCTCCATCTTCTCCTCGTCTTTTGTTGCTCTGTTCTCTATGACCTTCATTCCTCTGAATGACAAGAGGTACAGAAAGCAATAAGACATCACTCTGGGGATAACTTTAACATGTACCTACATCAAAGTCTTGAATATTAGGAGATTCAGATATGGTCATGTGCTAGATCTGGATCTCAGAGTGGTTAATGCAGCAGAGGACATGTAGCCTTCTGTTATGGAGGGTCAGGGGACATGGGGAGACCACTGCTCAATGTAGCATGGACAGAGTGGTTCTGGTGGAGCTTTGACAGTCATTACAGACATGTTTATGTCCCTGTGAGCCACTGTGTGGATACCTGTGTTGTATCTGAGCTATCAGCTTTACTACAAGAGGTTCTGGGTGTGTGTGCGCCTCTCATCTGGGGAAGTGTCACTAGCCCTGCTGGGTCACAGTTTTTAGCCCTAAATATCTTGCTATGCTCTGAATACATCAAATTTATTGGCAGATCTGTGTGTTGTATTTAGTGCCTCTGCAAGGGAATAAATCTTGTTCATATACAATGAACAGCTCCTGTCAGCTTGGCTAATGCTAATGCTAACAGACCAGTGCTGCCAATTATAATCATCACAGATAGGGAGGGGCCAGAAGACACTAAATAAACTAGATAAATTAGAGCAGAAAAAAACTGTTTTTAAGCATAGCATGAATTTTGTCTACATCTATGTAATTGCCAAACAAACTCTGTGTTATTACGTAAGTACATATTGCAAAAATATTCATGGTGTGGTTACCCTTTAAAACAGAACGCATGTGTTGAAAACTGAAGACATGAAGTATGAGAGACATTTATTAGGCAAGGAGGGTCTATAGAAAGAAGTGACAGGTTGCATTATGGGAAGTGCACTGTAGGATCCAGTGGTTTTAGAGCTTGAATAGAGGAGAGGACCTTTTAGTTGAGTTTTAGCTTTAGAATGCACCATGTTAAGATTTTAGCTGGGTGGACATGGAGGTCTTCACCTCTCACTCTCATCTGCAGCTTTCTCAGCCTCCTCCAGCTTCTGAAGAGCAGTAGCCAGCCTCTCCTGAGCTCGGTCCAACTCCTCTTCCACCAGCTGGATACGCCTGTTTAGAGATGCCACTTCTGCCTCAGCCTGATGGGAGACACGTAACGCGCACGCACACACACGCACACACACATAGCCTTAATAAGAGCCAGAAGTGCCATTATGGCCATAATTATAACTGCGTTTAAGGCAGAGAGCTATAAAACAACATAGAAAAGACCAGTAATATTCAAATAGACCAAATACTTACAACTTAAAAATATAATGGCTCGTGGACTGTAACGTTATATTTTGACACCTTTAAAGTAATGAACGTTGACGCTATATTTGTCCGTGTATAACAGGTATAATAGGTTAGTTAGTTGGTTAGTTAGTTAGTAGTAGTAGAGGTTATCTCACTGCTATCTCCGGTCAAACTTCACAAGACTCGAGTGTTAGATTAATAGAGCATTCTACATTTAGCCCACTTTAGCCTACATCTAGGTTAATAGTAGATTTTTTTTTAATAATTCACGAATTTCATTCATGAATTATCCTAGTCTCCGTTGTCGGCGTTCGGACAGTGTTGGAGTGTGTACCCTCTCTCTGGCCTGCCTCTCCATGTCCGCCTCCCCCTGCAGCATATCGGCTCGGTCCTCCGCCTCGTACGCTGCTTGCTGCAGTGTCTGGATCTTCCTTCTCAATGTGTCTATGGATGTTAAAGTCGCCATGCTACGAAGAATCCACGCCGCTTCTCCTTGGTATCACGGGGTTGCCGTGACAACGGTGTCAGAGGTTGTGTTTCCGGTTACAAAACACGCAAGTAATAGGGAAACATGTTAGATCGTTCACTAGTAGTAATAGGTAGTCATTTGTACCTTTTAATTAATTAATTTGGGTTAAATTAATTATTTATTTGTTATTCACTTGATACTCAAATTAATAATTATGACTCCAAAATCACAAAATTGTTATTCTAAATTATAATACTTTATTAACGCTGTCTGTAGCCATTAAGAACACTGAGAACATAAAGGTTAAGGTCTGTGGTATTTACCAACTTGCATTATACAATTTTAAATGTAGCTATTTTCGAAAATGGAAATTGCAAATAAATAAAATATGACAAAAACAAAAAATTAAAACATTTGTAAAGATGTCACTTTGGTGTCCGGTTAACTTTGAGACAGTCGGGTGTCTCTGAGAGAAAAAGTGGTCTTCAAGTGCCACGGCACACATATATATTAATAAACAGAAAAAAACTCATTTGACTAATGGTGAAAGTCAGTGTGGCCTATAGACTTTATTTCTATTGAATGCTTCATGGCTTTAGAGCCTTCAAATATTCATTTGGCTCAAACATCTACATTTTTTGCAAAGCTCATAAATAAAGATAAATAAAGCAAGTCCTCAGTTACAGTTATTTTTAAAGTTAATTTCTTTTATGTCAGATTACTGTTATAAGCATTCTACATAAAGAATCACACATAAAAACTCAGTAATGCAGCTATTTAAAAGATAAATCACTGCTCAGACACAGCTGACTGTAAGTGACATCTGATTTGTCCAGTAAATAGTTTTCACTTTATAGTTCCCGCTGCATGTACTGTCCAAATGTGTTGGCAAATAGAACTTGTCCTGAGGCAGATATATTTGTGTTGGACTGCCTACAATAGCAGACTCCTGTAAGCAGTGAAACATAAACAAATTCATGCATTGCTCCAATTCTTTTCCATCTTTGGTAACATCACACTGCACACAGACGTTCTTACTCCTCTCGGGGCAAATAAAGTCAATTCTCACTCTTCCCTGTGTCTCTCTGATACTTTGCAGAATAACTGGTCACAATGGTGTGACTCAACTCACTATAATGCGTAAATGTTATCACTATCCCAAATGACTTGAACACAGCCCTCAAAGCACACTCTGAGTATAAGCTCAGAGGTAATTAAGCAGCTGTGCAGATAACCAAGTTATGAAAGTGTGTAGCTACACCAACAAGCTGTTTCAATCACACGGTTAGTTAAAAACATTACAGTAGGTTAAAGAAGAAAATAATTAAAAGGCTTCCAAGAATTTAAATTAAAGGAGCTTGTTTGAGTGATTCACAGCCGGGGAAGAGCATTTTAAGGGAAATAAGGCCCGGAAATAATAACAACGTTGGACTTGTGCAGCCTAATCTGCATATTAGCCATAGACAAGCTTTGGGATACATTTTTGCATTGGATTTTGTCCTCCGTCAGTTACATAGAAAGTGCATTAGAAATGGATCTTTTAATGGCCAATATGAACAGGAAGAACTGTTACGGTAAAGAAAACCTGTTTACATACTCATATGGTCACCTGACTATTATTTCAGGCAGACATGAAAAATTTGGGACCCTATCCATTAATGTACCTGGTATAAGTGATGTTTACAAATTTGAATCAAATGAATGAAGTGCACTGTAGTATAGGCTGAGCAAGGATAAAGTTTAGCCCCGAACTAACCTGTGTTTATTTAGTCATTTATTTTGATCTGTGGTGGCACCACCTTGTCTGGCTCCTATGTCCCTGTTTAACATTGTGCAGCATACATAAAGGTCCTACTGAAGCATATGATATAGTTTTCTACTACAGTATTTACTGTTGTATTCCTTTACTGAACACAACCTTTTACATTGCCTACAGGGTGCGGTTCTCCAGCAAACAACTAACTGGGGTCAACATGAACATCCATATGAGCTGGTGTCAAGCTCAGACTAGTGAAATCCTCTACACCGAGGTCTCCAGATTGGTTAGAATAGATGGCATTTGCCTAAAGGTGCTGACAAGTTTTATGATATGTTGATAGAAACTGATACTGCACATGACAGATTTAGTAACGCCGCCGCTGCTGCTGACGGCAGTGAGGCAGTTTGCAACTGGAACTAATGATGACACTCTGAAGATTTAGCACAACCAGCACTAAACTGTACGCCTGAAGGTCAACATTAAAATGGTTATGACTCCTGGACATGCATGATGTGGGAGTGCAGTGGTGGGAGTGTAAAGTTTGACTGACAGTAACAAACTGGTGTTAGCATATTTAAAAAAAACAGGAGGAATTAAAAGCTTTAACACAACTAGTTTCTAGGACTAATGATGTAACTGATGGTCTAAATGTACTGTGCAATAATTTAAACTAAACATCTTGGTGCTACATTTTTACATGTGGTCAACAACCTAACACATATTGCTATGTGAGGGATCAGATGTAATCGGGTTAATGTGATCTTAATACAGTAGTGTGATCCCTAGCAACTGTGTTGTTCACTCACATCTGCTGCCTTTTTCTCTGCCTGCTCCAGCTTCTCCTGGGCATCTTTCAGTGATTCGGAGTATTTGTCCAGCTCATCATCCACTCCTTTCAGCTTCTTCTGCAGACCCTGCAGCTCCTCCTCCAGCTACAGGTCAAATACACCAACACACGTTACAGAAACAGAACATGTCAAAAATTGGAAAGTTTTTAGAACAAGAATGGCTGAAAATCTTTTCACAGCATTTGCAGCATTGCATGTGAGGGCAATATTCTCTATTCAACACTGTTTCAGAGCAAGATAGCTCAACAAACCATGTCTTCTACCAAACACATTTATATACTACTAATTTTGCCAAATATAAGAAGTAAGAATTTTCTCTTCAAGATCTACAATTATTTCCTACTGTGAATCTATCATGAATAACAGAGTCAGTGAAAAGGACTACTCACTCCTAAGGAAAAGATGCAAGTGAGGGAAACGTGGTTGCAATAAAGGAAATTGTCTTTTTCACCATTCAACCATCTATCACCACCATCTTTACCAACCTTCAAGCAGTACACTATTTATATCTCCATGTGTACATACCCACAGCACGTCTGTGACGTTATTGGACGCATGGTGAACAGTTTTTTTAAATTCCAAACACTTCTTATCAGAACCTGGCACCTACATTAACCACAATACTGCTCACTTTGCCACATGCAGCTGTTGTGGGAGAGAAACAGAAATACTGCAACAATGAATGTTTTGTAGACACATTTTTCTTTGGCACCCAACAGTTTGTAGATGTGTTTTTCATCACTGTGTTAATAAAAAATTAATCCACAAATAATTATGTTTCCTAGAAATGAATTTGCCATTTCACGTTTCACACAAGCATATAAATTGTAGGTAACAGAGTTGCTCAACTAGATCTATGATTCCTATGAAGTTTGCTATGAGTATTTCAGTGACTTGCTGACATTTAGCACAAAAAGTGAGATTTAGAGGCCCATGTTACAGAACAACATATTCCCTCCAGGCAAAAGCATCCTTGCAAACTTAACACCGCAGTTAACAGCGAGCTAGTCATGTACAGTATGGTGGCAAGAAAAATTATGTGAACTCTTTATATTTATTTGTGTTTATGCATAGATTTGTCTTAAAATATAGTCAGACCTTCATTTAAGTTACAATTATGAATGAACACAATCTATTTTAACTAATAACACACAAACCACTGTATTGTTTATGTCTATATTGAACAACAAATTGAAACATTAACAGTGTAGGTTTGAAAAAGTATGTAAATCCCTAGGCTAAGGACAAACAGCAAAAGCTAACTGGTGTCAGCAAACTTGGCATCAGGTCGGTGAAACAGACAGGAGGTGTGGGTTAGAGCCGCTCCAACTTATAAAAAAGCTCAAGCAGTTTGAGTTTGCAATTCTGCTGATGTTGCTGATTGAAATTCCTCCTGAACATTGTTCAGGTCCGATCCACAGCTACTGGAAGCTCTTGTCTGGGGGCTGCCAAAGGAGGTCCAACCAGTTAACGGGTTACTTATTTTTCCACCAGCACTGCTAAGTTTAGTGGGTGTGTTCAATAAAGGTTATAATCATTTGGGTATTACCAGTTTGGGCACCATGTCTTTGTCTGTGCATGTGACATAAATGAAGACCAGGCACACAAAAACAGGTCATTCCAATGGATTCACATACTTTTTCTTGCCACTCTACATATGATGATTTTTATCACAATAAATACAAAGGTTTTCTATTTTAATTCTGCATCATATACAGCAAACTAATGTGCGCTGCCTGCTGTGTATTGAATATTACACAAGAAAATAAAAAAATTAAAAAGTCTAACTGGCATATTTATATGAAACTGAGTGCACAGATCATTGCTCCCCAGAGGATGTGGGACACTTGAATAATGAATTATTTGGAAGACTGTCATTAAATCTGCCCCATAAAAGAAAATATCACCCTAACAGACAGATTGTTCACAGTTTGTTCACAATGAGAAGAACCTTTTCTGTTTGTTATCCCATGACTCATTTACAAAGATTGTTTCAACAAGCTGCCAACAACAGCTTCGCAGACTATAAAAAGCCCATTGTAAATGGCAGTGATGTGGCCCAAATACAATGTCCCCAGGACAAATGTCCTTATGACAGTCTCTTCCAGCCCGTAGCCATGTAAGGCCTCTCAGTCACAAATAGCCTGGAATGGTTCTGATCCTACAGTCAACTATTTCGTGGCAACTAAATAACCCACAGCCTCGACTGTCTTTCTGAGAAGGAGGTGGGGGTCTTTAGAGGGAACACAGAAATAGACATGCCAGTGTTGAATGCTCCAAGGCAGACAGAAGTGATTGTGCAGGCATTGTAATAGATCCGAGTCAGGGTCCTCTGGGAACAAATGCTATTTGGACAGTTGCATAGTTGTTATCTATTCATAGATTGTTACCTGATCTGGTCAGTTATGCTGTGGAGCTGCACAGGAAAGACAGCAAGCCTGACCATAAAGAAATATCCAGATGGGTGACAAATGAAAGGAAAACCCAACATAGAGAGTCTCAGTGAGGTGTTGGACCACCATGTGCCATCAGAACAGCTTCACTGCACCTTGGCATTGATTCCACAAGTCTCTGCACTCTACTGGAGGAATGAACACCAATCTTCCTAAAGAAATCCATATGTCTGAGGAACCCTGACTGTTTCTGGGGCGACATCACATTTTATCAACAAGAGCAAGCCAAATACTTGCAGCAAATGCATGGCAACAACAATATAATGTTGAAAATGTAGATAAACTACTCAGTCTCCAACCAGCTGATAGTTTAAATCAACCATCAACCTTCATCAGTAAATGAGTCTGCATTGGTGTAAATATGAAACTGGGTGATTCTGACAGTCTGTTGCCCATAGCTGAGCGCAGTGCCATCACACATCTCACTGTGCTTAACGCCATCAAACCACATGTAAGGCTGTTACACAATAACGGCATACACCTCTACACACATCAGATTGGCCCATTTTATCTTTCTTTGCTGTGTTTCAAGTTTTACTCAAATGCAACACACTGCTGTTACATGTGATAGAACAGAATAAAGACAAGACAAAGACAAGCTTCAGACAGATGTGATCATGTAAATGGCTTTATCAACATATTTCTGTTATTTCCTTCTCTCATTGTTTAACTGTTTAACCCACAGCAGATTTGTGGTCCTGTGTGTTCATTTGTTGAGCTGTTGTCACCTTGCTTCACTGTGACTGGCTTAGAGCTATGAGCGCTGTGATGTGATTGAGTGAGAGTTATCTTTATTCACTTTATTATTCACCCTGCCATTTACACTTTGTACAGCTACACATACATGAACCAAAATAGCAGCACTGTTAGAAATTGTAATTCATTTACTTAACAGCAATTCCAGGTTGAGCCATGTACAGGCTGGTAGCAGTAGTACAGTGTTATTAATTGCGGACTGCTGCTGGTGTTGTATACATACTGTTGCTGTAACTTTCTATGCATCTGTGCAGAAAATGTGCAGTCAGCAGATACTAGTCATCCTTGACATCTAAAACTGACTAATAACTGATAGTGACTAATAAGACAGAACTGTGAACAAAAACACAGTAATAGTTCTCGATTGTGAAATCTGAGCGAGCACAGATTGCCAAATCCAAGCAATTGCACTTTGCAGTATTTTGAACGTTACATCTTGACTGCATGGAAGCAGGTGCCACTTGTAAAACTGCCGTAGCGTGTATGCAACATGAACAGTAGGCTACCTGGAATATTTGAGCATACCTAGTAAAGAAATTTAAAAAACCTAAATACCGACATTTAGGAAAAAGCTCATTCATGACATGTGTCAGCAAAAGGACTGAAGGAGTGACACAACAAAAGAAGTTGGGAGGTGACTCTCATAGCAGCCTTCATCCAGAGGTTCATCTGATTTGACTGGCAGAGCTAAGGAATGGTAACATTGTCCACCAATAAGGAAAACCCATGCGTTTGTGTTCACCTGATGAATGCAAGTCCAGTATTCATAGCTTTGTTTTTGGCCAATTCCTGAAGGAAATATCTGCTCTATATCTGCAAAATAATGTCCTCATATTTTGAAGTACATTTTCGATAATAACCATGTCATTCAAATAACACTAAGTACAGCAACTTGCTGGCTAACTGTGCATGCACCCTTACCTTAGTCATTTACTGATATACTGTAATATCTCTTTCCACTGTTACACAAACAGGCCAGTTAGCCAGTGAAGCCCAAGACATCACAAAACTGTCCCCAATAGAATTAAAATAAATGTGAACTGGTTTTATGTGACCCATCTTTCTGTTTTACCAGAACTCTCCAGTCAGTTCTGTTGTCCAATCATGTCATTCACCAATTGTGAAAAACACAACAGAACAATATTTATTTATACAGTCCTGGCTTTACCTCATATTTATAATCTATTAGTGTATATACATTCTCTAAGTGCCAAGCTAATGGAAAATGCTAAGGCTTTGTACTGTAGCAAGTAAAGGAAACTGATTTGGTGATGTAAGTACACAGCGACAGACTATATAAAATGGACGATGTGTCATCGCTTTCTGTCAATATGTAAGAATGAAGTCAAAATATTGAAAAGCCGCCGGTGGCCATCTTACGTTTGTGATGCATTTTGCAACCAGATTCTGTGCAGTAGCAACTAGAGATGGAGCTGTGGTATCAGGCCACCAATCAAAGCTGTCAAATAATCCAAAATACACCCCTTTTTATATCATCGTGTAACTTATTAAAAACAAACTTATCAGAAGAATGACCACTGGTACACCAATCAGTGTGATAATGTCTACCTAAAGTGACAGAAATCACCTTCAGGAAAATTTGATTTCTATGAGCTTGGTGGGCTTATGACCTATACGGCTACCAGCCACCAGAAGGTGATCGACCTGTGGTGGTTTCACTTCTAGGAGCTGTCAGGTCACCCATCTTTATATAGCCTACAGTCTATGGTTGCGTCTCATGTCCCTTAAAAGATCATTCCTTGCTCCTTATGGAAGTCTTTTACAGAGCGACACGCCCCTTTATCGGAAATCAGTTGGTGACTGGGTACTTCAGATGAAGGATCGGAGGAAAGGACATCTCATGTCTCTTAAAAGGTGCTTCCTTCCTCTCTTTCCTCACATTTTTTTCCTCTTTGCATCTTATGTGGGTGGGACTAAGACACAAGGAAACGACACAGTTCAGGAAAACACTGGTGCATAGACTTGGGATGCACCCCATGTTACCATAACTTGCTTTTTATAATGTCTTAGTCATGAATGCATTATGATCGCTGGATACAAGATAACACAATGGCACCCATTCTTCCAACTAAGAGTTGCTCGCCTGGTGCATACAACAAAAAAAAATGTTTTCCCTTCCAGGACTGTGTTGTGCAGTCTTACTGCACATGTGCATTAGTGTCCCCCCACCCCCAGTTTGCAGTTCAAGATGTCCTTTTGATAGTTTTACAAACGTATTTCGTGTTAATGTGATGTATGGAGAAAATGTTTTTCGGGCCACAGGGGAATTTTTCATTTTAGTACTGCAGGTGGCCAGTAGGACAAATCGGCTGAAGGACTGATAGGTGACGTGGCACCCAGCTCTCATAATACATTCATCATCTTAATCTCTCTCATGTATGGGGTAAGGAAAATATGTGAAGAAAAAATATAAAATACAAGACTGAAATCAAAGGAAAACCTTTTTTTAGAACCATGACATCCTTTTTTTCTGATCCTTCATCTGAAGCATCCAAGCACCAACTGATTTCTGATGAAGGGACGTTTTAGTCCATAAAAGACTTCTTTGAAGGATGCTTCCTTGTATCCTCGCTCATGGCCCCTCCAGCGATCGCCTCGATCCTCACTTCTCAGAGCAGACTGGGACAGCCTCAGTCCTCACTCGACCCACAAGTCATTCCAGTCAAGTGAGGATTGAGGAGTAAGGAATGATCATATAAAAGACTTGGGATGCACCCATAGTGTCAGTTCCAGTTTCCTCATCCTGTTCACTGTCTCAGCAGG